AAATGTTTTTTCTATATTTTTTGTTTCAAAAGTTTTTTTCTATCGTTCAAAATAAAAAAGTTATGAGCAATACGCTAAAAAACTTCAATTTCTTGTGCCATTTTACCCCATCCTACTCTAACAGATAAACATTTTGTTTCCTTTACATTAAAATTTTTAATTATCTTCGAGCAACTATTAATGTTAATCTCAAACTAGAATACATCACTATTTCTAGTTTCTTAATAAATCTATTTCCTAAAATAAATATCACGAACAAAATTATAAAATAAAATGCCTACGCATTGTCGCTCACTTTATTACAAATCTTAATGCTTCTAGTATGAATAAAAATATAAAAACATAAGAGTATAATCGACTTTTCTAAATTTGCTATGCGATCAGATCTAATGATTATTATGAAAAGCAATTTTGACTATCATTATCACTAATGTTTCAATCGCTACATGGATATCTTACTATAAAACAAGTTTGAATAGAAATATTGGATTGAATATATTTTTTATTTTTTTATAATTCAAAAAGAAGGAATATCTTACCCAAGAGTATGTTTATTTTTATAGATGATATTTCTTGATAAAAGATCTGCTTGATTATATGCGTATGTATTGAATAAATTCACTATATGATGTACATTACTCCATGTAACATCATCTTCCATAAGCCAGACATAATCTATCGAACTTTGATTATAAAGCCAAACAAATACTCTATCCCAAACACGATTTCTAGTTAAACCATATCGAGCAAGTTGTTCATTATTAACATATAAAGTACGATTGGTTGAATTAGTATACTTGGAGGGTTCTTCATCACACATAACAAAAGCATCAACACCAGCATTAACTAAGGCATTTAAATGTTTTAAAACTTTGATTGAAGGTATTCTTGCTAATATGATTGCAGTATGATGAACACGTTTATTTATTCGAGAAGAAAAATAAGATACTGATTTAACTTCGAAAGATAATTGAAATAGAAGACAGCATAAAATAAAACAAAAGACGAACAGAATAATGCACTTAAGCATGTAAAGGTACCACATTGATTATAATTTATAATGTTTATCTAGTGATCAAGTAAATACTGATATAAAATCATCCTATATTCACTATAAATGCTGGATAAAAACGCCTTTTCAGAATAGTAACGCAGTGATTTAAAAAAAATTAAAAAAAAATTATACCAAATCAAAGCGCGTTGAAAATGATATCTATTAATACTAAATAGTAAGGCTTATAGCAACTTTTCAGTATCGGTTTCAGAAAATTCGTAAAGAAGGTGTGCCAAATAACAACCGAACATCCCAGAGAATCTGAAGCTAGTTTTATTAGTTTGAGAGTCAGCATTAAACCCTAATTATTTTTCAGAAGTTTATTTTATATTTTATAACAACTCAACGTTACACATTTTAAGTTTCCTCCTCAGTTATCGAAATATAGTTTGATTGCTGCCCTATTAAAAGTGCTTATACTTCGATAGCTGTTAAAGAATAGAAAAGGAGTATATGTAACTATACAATACTGAATTTTACTTCCTTTGACTTTCGATGATTAATATCATTCAGAAAAATAAATGATATGCTTCGTTCGGGAATCGAACC